GGGGGGGGGGGGGAGGGGGAGTGCTCTCTGCCAATCAGCGCTGGGGGGCAGATCTGCTGGAGCACAATCAGGGAATTTGCTCTTTATACTGTGGCCAACATGTGAAACTGGTAAGTCCAACTGCAATTTAAATAGAGCCCTAATTATATACCTTCTCAAACACCAGCTTAATAGCACTGGCCTATATCTCTGACATTTCCCAAACAGTTTGGAGTGAGAAAGATGAACCAGAGCCATGGCACCCAATCTTTTTGTTTGAAAATAGTGGAGTCCCAATGGGACTTGGGGACATAATGATAGATTACTTTGTTCATGGCCCATTGGTGGTGCTTGCGTTTAGAGGTATGAACAATGGGATGGTCAGAATGAGCAGCAGTAGCTGCCATCTAGACAGGCTGCAAAATAATACTGCATATTCTTCTGGTCCTTCTTTGTATTGAAAGGGGATGATCTACTGTTAAAGCACCAACTTCCTGAGAGGGAGATGCAATACTTTTTTCTCTTTTCCTGGTACTTGGCTCAAACAAACATACAAGGCTTACCCGTGATGTATGGCAAGTGCTGAAGAAAGGCACAAGGCTAGAGAGCGGATTTTGGAAGTTCAAGACAGTCACAGATTGGCATATGTTGGGTGACGAGAAGGATTCAGACCTGCCTGAAGAGCAAGCAGTGCTGCAGAGTAAGAGAGTGTGATGAAGCGGGGCTGGAGGATGTACAGTCTCAATGCATTGATTTGACCACTTCAAAGCAGGGGCAGTAGGGCTTTTTAGTACCTTTCAGTAGGGATTTTTGGCACCTCTGCGACAAGTTAAAATTGCCTACTCTTTAGGGTCCTGATTGGAATGTACCAATAGTGAATTCCCAGCAGCATAGCCTCAACTGGTGTCAGAAATCAGAGTTTCCAAGTCTGTACCAGTGGGTATTATGGAGTTAAATGGGGGCCATACTCAGCCTGAAGCATATGGGTGCAGCTCTCTTCCTTTCAGATGAGTTAAAACCATTTTTTTTGAGCTGAATTAAGCTCTAAGTATTCAGGGAAAATATCAGGTAAAGCACTAGAGAGGATCAAATTCTAGGATCCTAGGTCTTTATATGGAGGCTCCAGATACCAAGTTTCTGGCTTTGTTAGCTGCTTGGAATTGTCCTACTATGTTTGATAAGCTACAGATGGTCACCAGATGGCTATGTGTGAATCTGTGGAAGTGCTGCACCAGACAGAGGGAGACATCAAAGAGTAAGTCTACAAACATCTTTTTCCCCCATAACTTCTATTAATGACAGTGAACATTGCTAGATAGCAGCCCCACTGCTAAGTGGTAACAAACTGCAGTTTTTTTTCCAAGTCAGCTCCCTTTTAGAGGAGAAATCTGTGAGACAGTCTAGATATTTTCTTAGTGTACCTTGTTTACTTACTTGATGTGTTGCATTTATAGACTGGGGCAGTTTTAAAATGGGAATTTTAATTTAATAATATTAAAAAAAAACCCTTGAACCTTAGCATATTTCCTTTTGGGATACATGGAATGCTGCTGAAATCATTCTGTTCTCCTGGGTTGTCTCTTTCCACCTCCACAACAGGCCTCCAATTCTAAAATTACCAAATAGTAGCATAACTAGGGGTGGGTCATCAGTACACCAACTCTGATTGCTGATTTGGGAGGGAGGACGGGGCAAGAATGGCACCCACCACTGCTGCCCTTCCATCCATTGCTTCCAGCTCAGCTGCCTCTGCTGTCCAAAGCATAGAAAATGCTTATTATGCCTCTGGGACTGAGACACAGGTATACCTTGACATGCCTTTATGAGTGCTTCATACAAGTTCCCTAGTAGGGGCAATCTTCTTTTCTTCTTCTCTCATATACTTAATTTTCCCCTCTACAGATCCTGAATATGGTGGAACCACATTAAAGCAATGATAATGCTATATTGTTGATGCTTGCTAGGTCCTCATCCTGGGTCCACGGGTGTGCTGCACACATGAGGAGGTGGTCAGCAATCTGTGGTGCATCACCACACTCACATATTGGACTGTCCTTTAAGCCAACCTTATGGAGTGTGGCATTTAAGCATCCAGCTCCAGAGCGAATCCTGTTTAGTTTAATCCATAAATTGTGGGGGAGCTCGAACCTGGGTGGATATGGTGTTGGGTTGCTTATGAAGCACTAGCCATGAAAATTAGTCTCATTCTACTTTTTGTGGTGTTGTTCAAGTGTCCATAGGGTGCTGCTACCACCTCCACACTGTTGCAACCCATCTAAATGAGTTTCTCAACTTAGGTTGAAAGTATATAAGCAACTAATCACCCTACCTTTGTACCATGGTAAACCTATCATCGAGCAAGGGCAATGGCAAAATGGCACACAGCACACTTCTTTTTCAGGAACTGTAACAGGTCGCCCTCCCCCAGCGCCATCTTCCCTGTTAATCTGCACCTTACCCTTTGAGTCTTCTTTGGAGTTCTTATGTCCCGCCCTCTACTTGTCTGCTACGTCTTGATAGAAATTGTTGATGTTCTTGCAAGCAGGAGACTGCCTATTGTATTTTGTATGTTGGGGTCTTTCACCTACATGGACCTGGCCCCGGACTTTCTCTAGCTAGGCATCCCCATCCAAAACCCACCAAACAGAGTTTGACTCTGAGGCTCTAACCTTTTCTGGGGTTGGGCCTTGTTACAATTTGGTCCCCTGGTCCTCCTCGGGCTCTCCACAGCCCTGCCTCGCTCTGCGCCTCCCTGGCACTCGGGCTCTCCGCAGCCCTGTCTCGCACTGCACCTCCCTGGCACTCGGGCTCTCCGCAGCCCTGCAAAGTGCTGTGCCTTCTCTGGCGCCTGGATCAGAGCACCCCCAAATGCTGCATCCTTTCTGGCACTGGGGTCAGTGCACCTCCAAATGCTGTGCCCTCTCTGGTGCTGGGGTCCCCATGCTGCCGTGGATCCCCTATGAGGCCTCCTCCTTCCCCTAATAGCTTCACCCAAACCACCAGTGTTATTCAATAATCAAAAAAAAGGAAAAATAATAACTGCCACCAACCAATATAATCAAGCAAAGCAGCAGGCCAGCTTACATTCGCAGGGTTCATGCTTCTGCTCCCTACCATCAGCTACACTATTTGCTGTGGTGCAGCTGCCATCTCTCCATAGCTTCAGTAGTTCCCACCTTTGGACCACTCACCCAGCTTCTCTGTGGAGCTCTCACACACACTCCTTCCCCTTCAGCTGCTGTCTCCTTTACTGCTGCTCTGCCCAGGGTTTTTATAGTCCTGCCCCTTCTGCTCAGCTGACTAGCTGGCCAGGTTCAGCATTTAACCCTTTCCTTACCAGCACTCCATGCCCAGAAAGTTCTGGCCTTAAAGGGGTGGACCTGCTTTCTGGTGACAGGAAAACCAGAACCTTAGCCCATACAGGCTACAGGAACCTTAGCCCATATTCCAATGTCTGATTCTGAGGAATCAATTCTGTTCAAGAACTGACTTTACCGCTATCTTCATCTTGTTCAGTGAAAACTATTTGACAACATCTAGAAGAACAGGAAGAAAAACAAGAAACGAAAAAAACCTAGCAATACAACATTTATTTCTAAATTGTTAGACACAGTTTTATAAGTTTGCATTCTTGGCCTTTGAGTAGTGCACAATGTTATGCTATGAGTCACATTATGGCAATATTTTCCATTTGCATTTAAAGAACAGGTGCTGATTCAGCTGCTCATTCCACTCACCCTTACTGGGAATTTGTGGTTTTGGTAGAACCCAGTTCTATTTTGTTGTAGTTGCAGTTACTCAGTTCATCAACCAATAACCAGGCATTTCTCTGTATGTAAAAAGCCTCTTAGAAGGCGCTGATGGTGATTTAGCATAAATCTGTAGCAGCAGACCTGTTCCTACTTCCTTTCTTCCATGTACCCTTGTGCAGATTGCAATTATTTGAAAACATACTGAAAACAGTTTCAGTTGGGAGTAGGAGGAGAGTGGGGCCCCTAGTATTTATGTATCCTTAGTTTAATATTACGACAGTGGCATTCTTTAGAAGTTAACATTTCCCAGTCCTTAGTTGTGAGGAGTTACCTCCTCAATGGATATGTCTGCACATGCATTAATGTTCATTAAATTTGGTACCAAATGTGCATTAGGTTACCTTAATGTGCAGTAATGAATGTGCATAGTTTTTAAATTATGCTTAATGTGCAGTAGCTTATTTTACTGCACATTAGTGTAATTGCATGTTTTTTTATGTGACACTTTAATGCACATTAAAAAAGGTTACTGAGCATAGGTGCCCAGTGAGTTCATGAAAACTGGTGTGCCTCCAGATGGATTATATCATTTCACTTTATAAATATTTCCTAACCTTGTTCCGGATTTTACTATAACATTCCTGGATCACCTTCATTTAGAAGGTCATCAATGCTGTAATTTAAAATACACTTAAATACCTTCACAGTGATATCAAACATCAAAAATATCAGCATAACTAAGGTTAACAGCATCTCTTCTTTTATACAGTGTTTGTTCTGCTAGTCATAAACAAAACCATTTAAGTTATATATACAAAGGCCATGTTTTGTGTGCTTACAGTTATGCACATCTGCTACTTATCAGGGTCATAAAACAGTTTCCATAGGCTTCTGTATATGCATAAGTGTATTGGGGATGTGCAGGTAGAAGACATGGAATAGAAGAAAGACATTTTACAGAGTGGTCATTAAATTTAGACCATTTAAACACCGGGCAGTCTGGATCCAAGCCTAAGTGGAACATGGTTTTAAATACCATTTGTGTCATTTTAGGAGAAAAAAGGCCACACAGAAATATAACCCTACAACGTATGGCTTTTCTGAGAATTCATCAAAGATCTGTTAAAATCTAATATTTTAAAATCAGATATTAAAAAAAAAAATCCATTGTGTTAATGAAGCTTTGACAAAACTTTCATTACTTAGTCATACTGCTTTTACTATTGCATGTTTTCATGATTTTTACCCCTTTTTTGAACACTTGGCCTATGGGTGTTTTTCAAAACAATTCACTGGGAATTTTGATTTTGATATGATTTTAAATAGTCAGACATTAAAAATGTAATAAAATAGTGAATGCAGAAGGTCTAACATAGCTGTGGAAAGTCCCAGTGGAAGTTCTTTTTTCCTGTTTCCACACTGCCATCTAGAGTAAAACTATCAAAACTACATTTACTAAAAATCTTTGGGCTTAGTTCTTCACTGACCTATACCTAGTGCAGTCACTTTACATTTGGATAAAATACTATCCAATCAAAACAGAAATGCTTTATACACACAAGTATAAATAATGGCACAGGATGTAGTGTAGTGAAGAATCAGGCCGTTTATGATTATTTGTTACTACTAGATGATGAGAAAAGGGATATTAATTTTTCACAGGGCAAAATTCAACCTTCAAAAGATATGCAGAGTGCCATTTAGCATTTGCTTTGAGAACAGACTAGACATCACAGGCTGGATACACAGCTGACTTTCAGTTAGTATGGGTCTACTGTCTTCAGTGGAACTATATTGATTTACAGTTGGCTCTGTCTGTTCTGCATTTGTTCAAACATGTACTAAAAGTCTTCAGAGATAAATATATCTCTTTCACCAGAAACTAGGGAAACATCTGAAATGAAATCACTGTTCTGGTTTGTTTATCCACTTCCTACAAGAACTCCCTTTCTTTTTTAAAGAGATCTGGTTAAGGGCTGCCTGGCATGAGAAGCAACTAAGAAAGGTTTATTCTTTGCCCCCGAGACTATAAATTGATTCACTGGGGAAGCAACCCGGAGGGGTTTATTTTTCGTCTCCATAAAACTACAAATCAGTTGATGAAAGGAGCTACCCCTAGGCATTTTTTTTTTATTTGGACTCTGTGTTCCTACTTTCATTGTACATGGTCTTTGGTGGGACCAATTTACTCATGATTAGCCAGTTTACTTGTGATTAGTTACTGCAAAGTTACACATGTGTAGATGTGACATGGGAGCAAATTTGCTCCCAGGTCAGCCCTGCCACTAGAGGGCTGGCCTAAAGCCAGCCCCAGGGCTCTGGGCATGGAGCCTCTCTTGCCCCAGGGCTGGGTTGCCTCTATGGCAGCCTCTGCTTCAGGCTCTTAAAAGCCTGCAGGCATTTTAATCCCTGGGGCAAACTGGCAGGCAGCCTGAGGTCACTCCAGGCCCTGTGTCCCCCTGGGAAGGCTGCAGGCTAGCTTGCTGCCTGGCACTGCAGTGCTGCACAGCTGCCAGGAGCAGGCTGTCTAGGTCTCCAGGGTGCTGCAGGCTACTGTAGCCTCCTGCCAGGTGTGCTAGCCCCCAGACCTAGCTGCAGGCAGCTTCTGGCTGGTAGGGCCTGCTCCACTTGCCTGCAGCCCACCCCCAGAAACCTGTTTGGAGCCTGCAGGTGCTGCAGAGCATTGCCTCTGCCATATGGCTGCCAGTCCTCTGCTTTGCCCCTGCGCTGGGTGCTGCAGGCAGCTGCTCAGGCCTGGCAGCACAGGGACAACTTCACAGAGGCCCAGAGAGCTGGTGTGGGAACCCAGTGACATCCTTCTCACTGACACCTGTGCCCACCACCTGGTCACAGAAGGAGACTGGCAACTATTGTGGTGCTATGGGGCGAGGCAGAGGTGCAGCACCAGTTCACGTGGGGCAAGCACTTGAACGCCTATGTCTATGGGGGCTGTCAGGCCAGATGTGGGAGTGTGGGCACAAACAGTTGGTCCAGCAGCGCCACATAAAGGTAAAGGCTTTGCAGGCACAGTGGATCATTATGATCATTCAACCACAATCGTTGGTCCAGAAGTGCCTGCAAGTCCATGCCCTTTATGCAGCAACTGACGGAGATCCTCATACCCTGGACCCAGGCCAAAGCCATGCTGTCTACAGCATCATGGGCAACCTGCCCAAGCCCCCACCCTAGCCTGGCACCCGTGGTAACACGTTACTGGGGGAGGGTCCCTCAGGCATCCAGCTGCCTGTAACACTGAGCTCCCTGGCTGCAGTCACCACCAGCAAATCAGGGAGTCTGGGCTAGTGCCTGCCTTGCCAGCTCTGTAGTCCCAGGCCCAGCCACAAGGCATGGCAAGCCATGACACTGCCAGCTGCCAGCACTGCCAGCACTTCCCTGGGGGTGCCCCTGGCCAGGTGTCTGCATGCTGTGCCCCGCTGTCCAAGGACACTGCCCAGAGCAGCCAGGACCAAGAAGAATCACCAGACACACCAGCCCCAGACATGTGGTAAGTCCTACACTGTGGGGAAGGCCCTCCTGACCCCTACCCCTGCCCTCACCTTCCTACCTGGCCTGGCCACAGTCCCCTGGCCCCTGAGTTCTCCCCTGCCAGTACAAAATTTGATTGAGCAGCCTGTGCCCCTGCAGCTAGGTGGTTATTGGCCTCTTACATGCTGAGGAATGCAACAATGCTGGCAGCAATGTCCCCCTCAGTTGTGGGGGGCAGGGAAGTGTAGCATAGCCATAGGTAGCCTCCCAAGCAGCAGTGGAGGTTGCAGGCTATCCTGGGCTTTCCCCCTGCACTGCTGAAAATCAGGGTCATGTGCCAGTGCACAGGTGTGCCCATGACACCATAGCAATCATCAGCAGCAGGGTGTAGTGGGTTGGGCACTCCTTAGTCCATGCAAACAGCTCCTCACATAGTTCCATGATGCACAACAGGGACATGCTCAGGGCGCTGTGCTGGCACGGTGGGGGGCTGCCCCAGTGTGCCTCTCTGGAGAGGCCCCCTTCAGGGAGGATAGGGGCATGGGCAGCTCCTTGTCCCAGTTGTCTGGGAGCCCTGCACCCCCTGCCCCTGCCTCAAGTCCAGGTATTGTGGGCTGGATGGCAATGCAAGAGAGTGGCTGACCTGCTGGAGAAGAGGGGGAGGGATGGGGTCCAGAGCAAGGCAGCACGTGCTGCCAGGAGCCTGCCCTTTCCCACTCTGGGAAGGGGGCAAAGGAGGCAGGCTGCCTACAGACAGCACCCAGTGGCCTACTGGCCCCAAGGGAGAGAGTGGGGATGGGGGCTTGGCTGGCAGCTGCCTGGGCCCAGGCCTGCCTGGTTGACTTACCATGGTCCTTGGACACCTGTGCATGCCTGAACCCAATCTCAGGCCAGGCTGAGCATGGCCCCTGATACAGAGCATCTTTTTTGAAAAATGTTGCAAACTCTCACAAATAGTTTCTTTCTTGTGGCTCTGCACATCCTACAGC